TTTGGTCTTTAAGGATGATTGAATTGAACTTATTTTTTCTTTTGGTTCCATTTACAAATTCCTTTTTTGAGACTGTTGAAAGTAAAATTTAAGTTTTAGATATGTAAATACATAAGTTTTGGCGTAACTGTTTATTCAGTTTAGGGGCAAAATTGTCATTTATCCAGAAACAGCTGCAAATCAGTTGTTTTCCAATCGCACAAACCAAACAGTCAGACAGCTTTTTCAGATCAGCTGCTCATCAGCAGATTATCAGAATCAGCTGCTTATCAGCAGAAGCTGGATAAGCTGCAGCTGCCCCCAACAGAACCTAAGAACTACAGGATGCAACCAGGAACCAGATTGGTGGAACGTGGTACCCAACTATACATACATTCCGCTTTATGTTTTTTCACATTTAACATTTAAATTTTATTTTTTATATCACCTAAATCTTCTATATCAATTCAAAATATGATTATTTTAACAATATATATATATATATATATATATGCAAAAATTAAATTTTAGATATTAAATATGTAAATACATAAAAAATGAGTGATAAATCTTCTTTTTTTTATTGGCATTTACTAATTCATATATATTTATATATTCACACTAAATTTTTATTTTATTTCTCTTAAATTTTTTATATTACATAAAAAAATATCTTTATTATGAGTTAAGAAAAATGAAATGTACATTTTCACATGTAGGTATGGTTAGTATATATGCAAAAATTAAAATTTAAATGTGAGACATGAAAACATATAAGAGTTAAGTGATAAATATGTAAATCTTCATTGTTTTTATTTTTCCTCAAACATCCAAAGGAGATGGTTACTTTTATAACAATTTAATGTTATAAATTATACATGAAATCAAGTTTCAAACACCTTTTAAAATGACATATTTTACTATGAAAAGATTAGTAGGATTGCACATGCGTAAGATATATATGTATTTGTATATGTATGGATATATATGGATGTATATGTGTGTGTCTATATATATATATATATATATCAGGATGAAGGGTGGCGGCTGTTCCCCCTGTTGCTCTGCTAGGGTTTCGGCACAATGGCTCATCGTCAACAACAATACCAGCAACAAGCCTTTTATCCCACTAAGTGGGGTCAAACACTTGAATCTTTTTTCACCATTGTGTCCTATTGAATTTATCAAAACATCAAAGTAAAACTAATTCAAAACAAAACAAATCAAACTAAACTTAAATCTAAAAAAAATTAAAAAAATCATTAAATCAATTTGAATATGAACTTGAACCTAACTTATATGTTTAACTTGAATTAAGTTTGGTTAAACTAATCAGCAAAATCTTAACCAATTTAATTAACTTATTTAAAGTTAAATATTAATTTCAATTATAATGACTCAAATTAATTAAATTGTAATAAATTTAATTAAGATTAATCAATCTCAACTTAAATCAAAACACTATCAAACAAAATTAAACATAAATATTAATTCAATCTAATCAAAACAAAACAATCACAAATCAAATATAAAATTAAAAAAAAACTAAATAAATTAAGTCGATCTAAATATCAAATCAAACTTAATAAAAAGCAATCTAATTTTAAACTAAATCAATCCAAATAAACTAGTCTCCTAAACTAATTAATCTAATCGAACTAAAACCTAAACCAAATTAACTAAAACTTTTTGTGTGGTATGCCATGCTCTTTGAGTGAGGTGTCTCATTCTACTAAGATTAGGGAATTATCAGTAGCGTTACAAAGCAGGCCCTTCCTTTTATAATGCTCTTTATAACATTACATAAATGAAACATAAACAAAAATTGGAAACTTAAAATATGCAAAAAAAAATTAATTAATTTAAACTTTAATAACCCAATGGTAATAAATTGAGCACGATCAAATCACAAGCAGAAAAGAGAAAAATATCAGACATGTAGCACAATTTAAAATAAGCCAAATAAATATACAAAAGACACAAATGTTGTTGGGTTCGCAACATATCCTAAAAAACATAAAAAGCGGCTGGTGTCCACATATACATGTTTGATATTAATTCTATACTTGCATAGAATTTCATAATTAAGGTACGGGACACAAGTAGCTGTTCTTAGTCCCCATCATGTGATTCAGTGTGTCATGCATCTCAGAACCCGTGCTCTTATCTTATTTCTGATATAGGCTCCCTAAGGACTCTAAAAATATACATGAAAATCTAAAAAAAAAAACTCAACCTGCAAAAGAGGTTATCATGGGTTATAGTCATGTAACACACATTGAGTTATGCTTGTCGGGAGGAGAGCTTTAGCAACACTTGCAGAAAGTGTTAGTATTTAATTCATTACTTGCTTTTTCATTTTCAGTCATTTTAGGCATAACTTCCTGCAAGAAGACCAACCCTATATATGCTAGTATGTAAGTCTCAAACTCGAGTAAACACACAATGCAACAATAAAAGAGATGTCTGGCTAGGACAACAAAACAATAGAGAATAATGGCCAAGATATCAAAAAGACTACCTAAGCCTTATAGTCTTAGCCTAGCACATCATTTAATGAACAGTGCCCTAATCACATCACCTAAGTGCATGCGCAGTGCAGGGGTTGGACTACCATATGATTTTGACAGGGTCACCAAAGTCGGCCCCGTCCTAAAGACATAAGGGATCAAATATTTGTCATCCAAAAAAAAATTTAAAACTGTTGGCCTCACATATGGTATATCTTGCTAATTTCATAATTTTTAAAATATAATATACTATTAAATGTGAGTCTCTACAAGTGAGGTGACATAAATTAGAGCCTTAGAATTTTAGCATAATCACACTTTTGCTAATCCCGATGTGATAACTCACATTGCTCAGCGGGATTTATTTGGCAAGCAATGCTCGTTAAAACATTGCAATCAACAAAGGGTCACTCACTTAGCAAGCTTAATTTGTTATCAAGAAATACAAGCAGTGCACATGCAATCATGCAAAATATCACAATCAAGTGGGCACACATTGTGCACTTAATGGGTTCAGCGGCTTTAAGGTGTGACCCAAATTAAGCACACAATATGAAGGATTTATGATATTTAAGTGTGACTCCATGAGGGGGTGATGTGACATGTTCTCCAGTTAGGAGACTTACAGACCGGAGGGCTAGCATTGCTAGCCACTACTCACCAAAGGTTTGCAAGTACTAAGCCACACACATATGATGACATATGTGTGCGGTGATACTGTGAGTGTCGATGCTTGAGGAGACATCAAGTGAAGGTAAATCCAGGAAACAAATTTTGATTTTTCATGCAATGAGTTTAATACTATAAGCATCACTCAAAATATGTATCTTTTATTATCCACATAAAAGAACAAACTCAAGTAATTTGAAAAAGTTATACATGCGATGCACGAACACATGCAAGAAGTGTAACATGCAAATGAAGTTGGCCAATTGACACTATAGGTTGTCTAGGATGGTCAAATGGGTGGTATGTCCAAGAGGGATTGGTCAGGCTAGAGTGGTCGACTGAACCAAAGTGATGGGTCGATCGACCTTGGTGCCTGATCAAACCTAATTGATCGGTAGATTGGGTCGAAGCGGAAGATCGAACTATAGTTGGTGGTTGATCATACCTTAGTGGCCGATCAAACTCAATTGATCGATCGATCAGGACAGAGCAGTCGATCTAACCGAAGTGGTCACATATGCTAATTGTCATGCAAGAGATGCAAGCAAATGAAATCAAATGCATTCAATAAAAAATTAGATTTGTCATAGAATTCTCACATATGATCTAGAGTTTAATGAATTTGTATTTGTCGTCCGTTGTGCAATGTAATAGAATGCCTACTTCTAATTATCCGAAAAGCACAAAGAAATTTCCACGAAAAGAAAACCTTCTTGAAAATGATGGTTTTTCCTTCGTGGATATGACCTTTGTGATCTAGGGAACGAGAACTAAAGGATTTTCTTATTGAATAGATCAAGGTGGATTCAACCCATCATCAAGTGTTGAATCCACTGAATAACCACGGGGTTGCTAAATTCCTGACTGATTAGGTTTTTATGTTAGGTCTTAGAGAAAGAGCTCAAGATTTGTAGGAATTTTCAATGCTCCTAGCCTATGGGGCTTTTCCTCTAACACAAAACCTAGGTCATTAAATCTCTA